AAAAGCCTTGACAATTTTTATATTAAGTAAGTGCTCTTTTGACCATTATGTGTCTGATTTAACCAAATCACTGTTGTACATGGGATTACATTGACCATTTAAAATTAAGCATTCTGAACATTTCAAAATAAAAGCCTTAAGATTCGGCCGTGGCTAATACAGTGCCGCAGGCGCTGCAATGATATTAGCTTGCTTTATCTTTTTGTCTCAACATTAGCACAAACATTAGCATTTCACTGTTTCACTGTTCCCCACTAGTGCACTGCCGTAGGCAGTGCAATACAATTATCCTGCATGATCTTTTTCTCTGAGGTTAGGGCTCTGCCTTGCACAGCAAGGCAGAGCATTAGCATTAGCCTTTTACCTTAAATGAGGTATTAGCTGTTTCCTTTACTTATTACCCATGTTCAATAATTCATGCTTGTGACTATCCACATGCTATTGATGACATTGCAGCTTTCTTTAGCATGGATGCTAATGTTTAGCATCAGAACGCTGGGTCCAAACCGACGGGCACACTTTGGCAGGCCCCGGTTAAATTTCTTCAGGAATTTTCTAGTTATCGTTATTTTCTAAATATAACTTAATTTCACGTTTTAATTTATCCCTGATGGCCAATTTTTTCAAAATGTTTGAGTTCAGTCTCCACAAAGTGGATCTCCTCTTGTTCTGCAGACAGACTGAGATGTATATGGGACCATGATCTGAGAGTGTATTAGGTCCCATTTCACAGCTGTCCACCCTGAAAAGATCCCCCTTGAACATAAAGAAGTAGTCTATACGGGAGTAAACGTTGTGAGCGTGTGAGTAATCTCGGCTCTTTGGGTTCCTTTCCCTCCAAACGTCCACAACCCCTACCTCACTCATCCAGGTATTTAATCTCCTGCTAATGTTTTTTGCGTCGGGTTTCCCATTTGAAGAGTCGATTTTTGGATTCAATCTAACATTGAAATCTCCGCCACATATTAAAATCCCCTGACTTTTTGTTGTTATTATATCAATTATTTCTATAAAAAGACCAGTCACTTCCAGGAGGAATATACACATTAAGGAGAGTTATCACGATTCCTTCTACTTTGTCTTGTTAAGAATTAAAAGAGGAATAACTTGATTTAGCTCGTTAATTTATTCCTCTGTCCTAGGTTCTTGCATCTGTGTAAGTGTGCAGAGAGAAAAGAGCAATCATACGACATCAGACTTCAGAGATCCAGAGTTTTATCCAGAGAAATTCAATCCAAGAAGAATGTTACAATAAGCATCTCACCTAGATTATCAAAAGTCCAAGACATGACAAAACAGAGACAAAGAACTGAGTAAAAAGGGAAAAAACAACAGACAAAAGATGCATCTTCTGGGAAACTCTCACTCAGCACAAAGAGATTCAAACTTCAGCTGTGAAACAAACCATTTTATAAAATGTGTATTCTCCTCATTTAAATATATGCATTAGGAGGTGTGTTTTTCCTTTGTGTGGGCTGTCTTAATGTTAATTTTATTACCTCTGAGACCCATGGAAACCCCCAGCTCTTCTCGTACCAGCCACTGTCCAGTTTGATATATGAGTGCAGCTGCAGCGTTATCTCTGCCTCAAAACAAGTAACCAGTTGGTGTTTTTAATCAAGCTTGGGCAAAATGTAATGCTAAATAATGACTACAAGTTTGGATCTAAAACTAACTAATTAAAAACATGCTTTTTAATGCTTAAAGAAATATACCAATATGTTTGATTATATGTTGTAACAGACTTCTATAGTTTTTAATGTTTGCCTGAACTATTCAACCCTGAGTAAAGAATTTATTGCCCTGATAGCCAATACACTCCCTGTCTGAAATGTTCCTTAGGGAGTATAAGACTGCTTTCTAATCAGAAATTTATGTAAGTTCAGAGAGTCACCAGTTGTCATAGTTTGGATTTGTATCTAAGTTTATCTTAACCTAAAAGTTAACTTACGTACTATTGTGCTACTTTAAAATTCTATTTCAACAGCCTGTAACCAAAACAAATCTGCCTTCATTGTCGTTATATTCTGAAATGTGCTCATAATTTATGGCCTTGGATATAAGGGTCGCCACTCCTCTCCGCCTCCCGATCCATGCGAAGAGAAGTAAACATGTTTAAATCCTTGTCTATTTCATTTAGCATGTTCTGAGTCGTTAAGGTGTGTCTCTTGTAAAAAGGCGACTTGGATTTTATCTTTCTTTAATTTTGATAGGATTCTTTCCCTCTTGACCGGATTGAGTACTCCATTTATATTAAATGTTGCTGTTCTTAAAGATCCGTTATGCATCGATGTGATTCCCCCATCCATCTCACTCAAATACTTGGTGCGTTTCCCCCTTCCCGCGAGAACCAGCGGGGAACAAACAGTTAACATAATACACATAAAACTGTGTATTACAATTTGTCCATACAGCTTCCTAGGTAGGGGTCTACTAACCTGACCCTGTTGAGCCCCCACAAGGAGGTCGAAGGAAAAAGTCCCCCTCCTCGGTCTGGAGGGAGAGGCCCGTGCCTGCAACTGTGGCATATTAGGAAAAAAAAAAGAAAAAGCAACAAAAATGTCCCAGCTCCAGAGGAAAAAGGGTCCCGGTCGAACCGAATTATTTTATAGTTTGTTTCCACCACTAATTACCGATTTAGTTTAAGATTTTTCACATTTTCCTCCTGCCGTCTTCGGTCTGGGAAAGATCCGCTGGTCCCGAAGGGGCCCCGGTTCTCCTGAAGGCTCGCAGCTTTTCCCTGTAGTTGGATCCCCGGCCGGCTTTAGATGCTCCCTTCGTCACACGTCGGTCCACTCTCGTCCATGACAAGCTCGTCTCAGCAGGTCCTCTGATGCCTCCTCCACCGTATCGTAGGTTTTGGATCCGTCCTCGTATCTAACGCGCAGCCTCGGGGGGAAGAGGGTCTGGAAGTGGATGTTATGTTCCTTCAATACTTTGCGTATTTCTGCATATTTCCTTCGTCTCTTCAGTATGAGAGGTGGATAGTCGTTATCCAGGTTTATGTGGTTTTCTTGCCATGTAAACCCCTTCCTCTGCCAGGCTTTGCGGAGAATCATCTCTTTAGTTTTAAAGCTTAGGAACTTGATTATGATGGAGCGTGGTGGCGCATCGGCTGGCGGCTGTGGCCCCACTGACCGATGAGCTCTTTCGATGTGGAGTTCAGGGATGTCCTCGTTCAGCTCAAGACCTTGACGGAGTAGGTTTTGACAAATGAGCATTGTAGCTTCCTTCTCGGATCCCTCCGGAACCCCATACATCCTTATGTTCTCCCGTCTGGATCGACTCTCCAAATCCGTCAGCTTGTCCTCCTGCTTAGTGTGTAGCCTTAGCATAGCCGTTATGACCTCCTCCGTGTTTAGGATCCTTTCTTCTGCTTTCTCAATTCGTCCCTCCACCTCCTCCATTCTGGTATTCACTTTCGCAATTTCTTCTTTTATCATCTCCAGTTGTTCTTTATTTTCTTGGCGAAACCCTTTCATTTCTCGCAAGATCAGTTCAGTGTCGGTCATTCTTAGACGTTGCTCCTAGTGTCTTATTAGCTTCAACACGTTAGCTGCTAATTGCTACTGCGACTCTTTTCTTTCCTTCACCTGACTTTAGTCGGCGTTTATTTCTAAAAATAGTGGTACGATCTTATCCCCTCTTTTATTATTATATCGGTATATTACCTCGGTCTCAAAGGGGTAATTTCTCTAATTACTTCGGTTCAACCAGGAGCTCTCTAGCTATCCCACCATTGCGGTGGACCGGAAGACGCTACCTTTCCATCTGCAGCCTTTGTTGAAGCTGTTAGCTGTCCTCCATGAAGACCTGCAGAGACATGAGCTTCAACTCTGGAGACATCCAGCCTCTTCTAGTGACTGGAGAACTTTCACTGCTTCACCATGAAATGCTGCTGGACCCAAACGCTCCGTCTCCTCCAGGGGTTTTGCTCTTCAGCTCTTTAGGAGTTTAGCAACAATTTCTCCTGACATCCAAACCTTTGTTCCTCTGAGACAATGGACAGACCACTGCAGAGACATATGTCCCTCTTCCAACCAGTTTGTCCCAGTTCCTCTCAGATCCACAGTCTGAGAGGACGGTTCAGACCGGAAGGAGCAGCAGGACCGGTTCTGCTGCTGCTCTGCAGGACGACCAGAACAACGTGAAGCTTTTAGCTGCAGCAGGTTGACGACTGTCCACTTTCTACTTTGTTAAAGCATCAAATCCAGCAGATGAACGGAGACAGAACTGGAGCATCATGTGTTTGTTCTGCTCCCAGTTTCCTCTGTGGCAGCATTTAATAACCTGCTGCTGGGAAACATGTTTCTATACAATATATTACTATTATTCATGATGATGCAGCAGATAGTGGCTCAACAAACCCAGAGATGCCAGAGGTCCACAGCAGCTGGACTTCCTGTTCTGCTCACTTCATTTATAACTCACTTCCTGCTTGGTCTAAACGGTCTAGTCCAAGTCAGAGCTGTGAGCAGTTCCTCCTCCTCTCCATCATCTCCAGTCGTTTCCTTCATTCAGCTCAGTCAGCCTCTTCATCAGCTGCTGCAGAGAAACTGAACTTTCCTTCACTGATGATAGAAGATCTTCAACATCTGACTGCAGCTGAAGGTCTGAGGACATGAAGCCTGGACCAGAACCAGAACCAGAACCAGAACCAGAACCAGAACCAGGACCAGAACCAGAACCAGAACCAGAACCAAGACCAGAACCAGGACCAGAAACCAGAACCAGGACCAGAACCAGAACCAGAACCAGGACCAGAACCAGAACCAGAACCAGGACCAGAACCAGAACCAAAACCAGAACCAGAACCAGAACCAGAACCAGGACCAGAACCAGGAACTGCACAGATTCTCTGTGGGGTCAAACTCAGTAGATATTGATCAGATATTGATCAGATGATGATCAGATGATGACATCACTGTTATCATATTTTAGTCTGTTTATGATCCAGATTGATTTCATTAGAACTGAATTTATTTCTTCTCTAATCACAGACTTGGTCGCTGTTGGCTCCAAAAGGCTGAATGTGAAGTTTTGGCCTCGGCTCTGAAGTCCAACCCAGATCTGACTGAACTGGAAATAAATCAGATCTACATAGTGGAAGGTGGAGAATCTGATATGAATCATCTGGTTGAGATCCTGGAGAATTCAGTCAGTAAAGTGAAGAAACTGGGGTTTGTTTTCTCTATTTATTCAATAAAATCATTTATTGATTCTTTAATCAATAGTTAATCAATTTAATGTTAATATATATTATTTTAAAACAACTTGTTTAATCATGAGAATAAAATCTCTAAAACTTTTGACCTTATTAATTATTTTCTTATTTCAGACTTTGAGATTATTGAACTTTGTTTTTCAGTTTTTCTCTTTAAAATGTTTTTGATGAACAAAATGAGTAAAATAATTGAAATGCTGTGAATGAATGATGGAGATGTTTCAGTTTGGTAAAGATTCAGATGCTTTTATTTCTGATTCTTTACATCAGAATGAAATGTTGATCCTCCAGAGCCACAAACACTGACGAGTTCAAATCCTCATTAATGAACGTCTAAGAAACCACTGATTGTAGAAAAGCAAATCTAGATGCAATGAATGAAAGTGAGGTTTGCAGCAGCAGCAGGTTCCTCAGCTTTGTCCTGAGGCTGTGGTTCTGTTGGGCCGGGTCAGAGAGGAACCGTCTCCTGAGGAAATAATGGCCTCCATTGGCTTTCAGCAGCTTTAATAGGAACCCAAAGGCCATTAATGAAGAACCTGACTGGTTCTGATCCAGTTACCAAGTCGGGTCTGATGATCAGGAACCAGCAGAAATAGCTCAACTCATCCAGACTGATAGAAAACTTTGACTTTCTTTGTTGATCAAATGTTCTGGTTCTGCTGGTTTGGACTCTTTAAACCAGTTTGACTGGATCAGATGTTAGAATCAGTTCATCATGTTTCTTTTACATTCAGGGAAATTAATTTATACATTTTATTATTGATTTGTTCATATTTCAGTTTTAACTGCATCCTGTTGGTTCACATCTTTTATTCTTTATTCAGATTGGAGAGATGCAGTTTCTCAGAGACCAGCTGGACGTCTCTGTTCTCAGCTCTGAAGTCCAACCCGACCCGTCTGACAGAACTGGACCTGATCAGAACCAACCTGGAAGGTTCTGGACTGAAGGATCTCTGTGGTTTTCTACAGACTGAAGGCTGCAGACTGGAGACATTGGTGTATGTAATGATATAATTATTGATATTTCTGTGAATAATTCTATATAATTGATTATCAATCAAAGTTCATTTCTTCTGATCTAATCAATATTTTCTGAGTTTGTTCCTGGATCCAGAGTTTAATTTAGTTTCTCTGTGTAACTGAGTTGGACCTGCTGATCTGAGGTCAGAACAGGACAGCATTCGGACCCCAGTGTGTAGAAATCCCCCTCAGGTCAAGCAGGTCAAAGGTCACCATGAAATGTCCCTTTATTGAAGATCCATAAATCCCACATTAGCTTTAAATCTCCTGCTATTAGTTGATGATGATCCAGTCCAGGTTTACAGAGTCCAGGTGTTGCAGTGCTTTAACTAGACCAGATTAAAGATGCTGATATCCTGATCAATATTCCCATTTCTGCAGCGTCTCTGATGAACGATTCAGAACCAGAACCAAATGACCCACAATGACCTCACAGAGAAAAGGATCAATATTTTCTAGTTGATGGTTCAGAAACTGAATCAGCACAAAATGATCAACTTTCAGAATGTGATGATATGATAAAAGGATTGAAATCAACCCGTTTCCATCTGTCATACTGAGCAATGAGCTGCAGTTCAAATACAAGCAGCAAGAAAAACATCATTAATAGATTAATGAAGAAAAACTGGAGCCATAAAATATCAGCAGATCAATGATGGACAGAGCAGTCGGAGAATCCAGAGCCTGGAAGGAAACATGGAGAGAAAAACATCCACTGAGTTTAAGATCCTCAGAAACTTTGAGACAAACTTTGACTTTCTTTGTTGATCAAATGTTCTGGTTCTGCTGGTTTGGACTCTTTAAACCAGTTTGACTGGATCAGATGTTAGAATCAGTTCATCATGTTTCTTTTACATTCAGGGAAATTAATTTATACATTTTATTATTGATTTGTTCATATTTCAGTTTTAACTGCATCCTGTTGCTTCACATCTTTTATTCTTTATTCAGATTGACTTACTGCAGGTTATCAGAGACCAGCTGGACGTCTCTGTTCTCAGCTCTGAAGTCCAACCTGACCCATCTGACAGAACTGGAGATGACCGGAACCAACCTGGAAGATTCTGGACTGAAGGATCTCTGTGGTTTTCTACAGACTGAAGGCTGCAGACTGGAGACATTGAGGTATTTTAATGATATAATTATTGATATTTCTGTGAATAATTCTATATTATTGATCATCAATCAAAGTTCATTTCTTCTGATCTAATCAATATTTTCTGAGTTTGTTCCTGGATCCAGAGTTTAATTTAGTTTCTCTGTGTAACTGAGTTGGACCTGCTGATCTGAGGTCAGAACAGGACAGCATTCGGACCCCAGTGTGTAGAAATCCCCCTCAGGTCAAGCAGGTCAAAGGTCATCCAGTCTAGAAAAGTTAAATCCTGGAATCTGACAGGAACAAATCAATAATCAATGATTGATGCTTCAACACTTTGATCAGAACCTGGAATGATTTTACTGACTAAAATCCTCCAACACATTATGACCCAGTACCAGGTTCTGGTTCTGGTTCTGGTTCTGAAGTCAGCAGGTCTTTATTGGAGCAGCAGCTTGTTGGCATTAATATTCATGAGAATCTTTAACTGGTTCTGTTGGACTGGTTAACCTGCATCCTGTTGGTTCACATCTTTTATTCTTTATTCAGGTTGAGGAGCTGCAGTTTGTCAAAGATCAGCTGTGATTATTTGGCCTCAGCTCTGAAGTCCAACCCGACCCGTCTGTCAGAACTGGACCTGAGAAGAAACAACCTGAAGGAATCAGATGTTCAGCAGCTGAAGGATCTTGTAAAGACTTTAGAGTAAGTAAATGTTTGCAGTGAGTCCAGCTGCTGTCAGCATATTGAACTAAACCCAGTCAGCATCAAAGCAAAGATCCAGTGTTCCCAGTAAAGCTGCAGCTTCTCAGTGGGAGGAGAATGGTTCAGGCTTCCTGATTGGACACAGCAATCAGCCAATCAGAGGAGCAGCAGCTTGCTGTGTTGTTGCTGTGTCCATGTCTCCAGGACGTCCAGCTGGACTCCAGCGTCCAACATGTCTAGAGACAGTGGTCCTCATTCATCAAACAGCAGCAGATCTGATCTCAGACCTGCTTGTTCTCTCAGTTCAACAGGAAACAACTGATCAGGTTCATCTTGGTCACAGCTCTGAGATCAGTCTGACTGGAAACCATCTACTGGATGTGCTGCGTCACTGACTGCTACTGGAAACACTCACTGATCTGCTCTCCTTCCTTCTTCTCTCTGCAGGTGGAGATGATCTGATGATCTCTATAAAGTAGAGAACGTCTCTGTGTCCTGCTGATCCTCACAGTTTGAAGCTGCAGCAGTTTGAGTCTAAAGAGACTCTGGATCATGATGATGACCTTTGACCTCAGAACATTTTCTATTTCTATTTCAAATATTTTCCAGACGTCGATTGTTGAAGATTTTCAGTTTTATTTTTCATCTGATCTGTTTGATGATCTGCAGGAACAAAAGAGAGAAAAATACTCTGAGTTTGTTAGAAAAGTTGAATTGAGCAAAAACATGAAGCATAAATTTCATTAAAAAGCTTTAAAGAGTTTGTTAATGGGACAAAATGTCATTTTATTCTGTTGAGGTGAAAAAGTTGATCTAAAATCAGACATGATAGCAGCTCTATAGATTCAGAGCCAAACAGTAAAACTTCCTCTGGATCTGTGGCATTAAATCCACTTGAGATCCAGACGTCCTGACCAGATCCTGCAGAGAAAAGAAACAATATTTGAACGTGGATCATTTGGACTCGGCTGCTTGGATGTGTGTTTGGATTTGAAAGGTTTTGTTGTGAAGCAGAAAGTTGATGAAGTTCACAGTGAAGACGACTTCAGTCCACCTGAAACCTGGTTTCACTCAAACGTCTTTATTCACTTTAAGTTTCTGATGCAACAAGAAGGAAGAAAAGGTCAAAGGTGAAACAGAGATCGACTCCATGTTGCTCACAGATGTGATGGGATCAGTTTGCACAGCTGTTGTTCAAGGAGAACAGTTTTATTTTCCTGCTTTTGTTGATGGATGCAAATTTGCATCAGAAGATGAGAAAATAACTTTCTGTGGTTTATTTGTATGGATTTAAAGTGGAACAAGTTTAAAGAAAAACTAGAGGAGAAACCTGAGCCAGCGTTCTGACAGACCAAACACTGAGGAACCAGAGTTTGCATCGTCAAAGTGACGAAATCATCTGAATGTTGTGACTCGTTTCCCATCAAATCCCTGACAGGAGAAGCAAAACCTCACGTCTCCAACATGAAGCTGCAACAGGATGCAGAACTTCCAGCGAGCGTCACGTCACTCACAGCAGATCAGGAGCCTCGCTCTTCACCTCAACACCGCCTAAAACCTGGGACCAGGGGTTAAAGGTCATCTCCTGCACCTAGTGCAACATTTCACTTCTCATGAGAGCGCGTCTCAGTTTAGAGGCCAAAACCAGCAAGAAGCTTCAGAGTTTTCCTGCAACGTAGCTCTGGTCTGTTGGCTTCAGTGAGGCTGGTTTTACTGAAGATGTGTTCAGGTACGCAGGAAAATTCAGCGCTGAGACAGACGGGTAGAGCGACTCCACCTCTGATGATGCTTGGATAAAAGTTTATATGTTCATGAGATGAAACAGTTAATTTTCCTCACATATCAGGACATTCTCCATCGGTCATCCTGCCGTCGTTCTGGATTTATTCATTATTTACATCGTCAATAGAAATTGTTCAACCAGATGTTTCTCTTTGTTTTAATTTTCACTGTTATAAAGTCAGATCAAGTCAGCTTACATTACTGTCATTAAATAAGAGTCACTGCAGGATTTTATTCAGTTTGATCTGAAATAAAACGTCTTGTAAAGAGTTTAATACAGCAGCTTTATTTTATGATTTAAAACAGTTTTTATTACATATATAAATCCAAACAGTGAATAAAAATATATCAGGATAATCTTTGAGTCAGTAAACTGTGAATATGATTCAGGAAAACTGTTAGTTTTTCTCTAAACTCCACATTAATGGATATTAAATGTAAATAAAACTTGTCTTATAACCCATCTATTTTACTTGGCTTTCAACTCCAGCAAGATCTTGTTTTCCATTGTATGCTTACTGATTTGTTTTAAACTGTAATAGTTTCTATTTGGTTTTTTATCTATTTTATGTACAGCACTTTGTATCAGCTGTGGTTGTTTTAAAGTGCTTTATGAAGAAAGTTTGTATGGTATGGTAAATATGCAGCAATATCAGGACTGTAGTTCCCACTATGGCCACCAGAGGGCGGAAATACCCCGCTCTGAATATAGAGGTGAGTTTGTAGAGCTGCAGCTGGTTTCAGACTTCTGTTAAGTTGATCATGTTTATATCTTTCTCATTATAAATATTGATATTATTATGGTCTGTCTAAAGGGCTGACAGTTGCCTTAATATATAGATGTTATTTACATACAGATAACTCATCTATATCTCACACATTACACAATTATGTTTCCTGATTAAATAAATGACGGGTTTGGTCAAGAATATTTTTTAAATATTTGTTTTTTCTGGAAAATAGAATAATTTTGATAGTTTGGTTTCCGAGCCCAATTATATGTGAAATGTATGTGATATCAATTGATATCACACAATTAAAAAAAATACACACTTATGCTTTCTGATAATATAATAAACTTATAAGCTAAAATGTACTTTCAGGAGAATTTAGTCGTTTGTGTTTTACTTTGAAAGAATCCAAAGGAAATGCTTTTCACACTTTTCTAGCTTTACTCTGGTTGTATTTACATTTTGTGTCCACTAGGGGGCAGAAGGCTAAGTTAGTAGTTACCTAGTTTCCCGCACCTTATCGGCTAATGAAGCCCTTGTTGGTCTCTTGGTGTTTCTGCTGTTATTTCTTAAATCTTCTTCCTATTTTAACATGAAATCAGTGTTTTATCTGTCAGTGCGAACTAGAAGCAGCTCCACAGAGATGAAAACATTTCGCAAAATCTCTAAGCGGAGCTAGCGATGCTAACTGACTAGCAGCATCTTGTTTTACACAAAAACTGATTATCAGCAGCTGCAGATTTAAACTGATGCTGAACAGCAGCGACTGTACTTCAGTTCACTGATCATCACTCACTAATGTATTATTAAACTTGTATGAAGAAAATTAATAATCCCTCAAAGATTTATTATTAAACGAGCTGCAAGTTAGTAGTGTAAAGGACTGTAGTGTGTAGTTACAATGTGTGTCCACAAGAGGGCGATAGATTGCGAATCTTCCAAAATATAAGTTAAATAATATATTTACTATGGTGCTCAGATATTTTTTAAATATCTTTATTGACTTTTTAGCATTATTATTTGTCCTTTATGTGTTTTTTTTTCCTGCTTGATGTTCTTATCTCAGCTGGTTGTTTTTTCTTAATATTTGTAGCTTTTTCATACTTTCATTCTCAAAATTAGCAACAGTTAATATTTCTGGGATTGTTACTGTTGACATTATGAATGTTTTTGTGCTCTCATTTGTTGTTGTTTTTTTTTTCTCACTATTGGATTATTGTGTGTCACATCACATGACCTGTCTAATTGAACACACTCGTGTACAATAAAAGGGTGTGTCCTCCAAACAAAGGGAGAACAACACGAAAGCCAAACCGGTGCGAGTTTCTTCATGTCACGTTGAACGCTGTGCCGAAAACTGATTCTGCTAAAAGTTACACAATAAAATGTAGGATTTTTTCCAACTAAATTTCTATCTGTAGTAAAATAAAATATTACTTTCTAAGTAGTTGTTTTTCACTTTGTGTCTAAATTATTCTAATAATTAATCTCCATCTCTAATAACATACAAGTATAAAATATTATTTCATATTTAATAATAATAAATTATTATTCACAGGATTAAGTTAGAAACAATTTAGTGAAAAGTTTGTAGTTTATTAGTTTTATGATGGTTGATTGAGTTCTTACTGCCCTCTGGTGGTGAACTATCATGACTACAGACATTCTTCATGTAAATTGTTAAACCGGATGTTTGTTTGTTTTAATGTAAAAATTTAAAACGTCCGATCAAAGATAACTCCAAACAGTGAATCAAAATATGTCTGAATAATAAAGGAGTCAGAAACATGTGATAATGACTCAGGAAGTCTGTTAGATCTGGTTCTATGGTAGAGGCTTCCTTTCCTTTAATCATAAATATTGACCTTCAGACTCTGTAGTCTTGGTCCAGGGCTTACAAGTGCTTTTCTCTGCCAAAATCCAAAAGAACTGAAACCAGACTGAGTAGAAAAGCATGCCACACTTTTCAGATTTATATGCATGTTAAAAGTTATGGAAACTATGATCCCAGTAAGATCCTTTACCGTCTGTCCCTCCTTCAAGGTGGAACATGAAAAATGATTAGATTGTTTTTAATCCCTGATTATTTTATGATTTCTGTTCATCAAATTATCAATCATTTAATATTGAAAGTTACATCTTCAGATGCACAGAAATACAATGTAAAGTGAAAATGTCCTGATCAGGAAATCTTGATGTTTCTGTTTGATTTTTGCATCGTTTTCTGCTGAGTCATCAACTTCCTGGTTGATTCCTTGCAGATTTTGGCCCAGTTCCTGCATCAGGTCGGTTCTGTTAATGATTCGCTGGTTATAATGCTGCAGCTGCTTCCTCTTCCTGTGGTTCCGACTCGTCTGTAGCGGGTCAAGCTCGCGGCTTCTGGATCAGCGGTTCCGGAAGGATTCGTGAGGCTTTTCCCGAACTTTTCCTTTAGCTGCGTTCAGGTGCTGTCAGGTATTTATTCTTGTGTTTTTCCATCCCATAATTCACTCTCAGCCTCAGTATTTCGCTTCTGTAAGCACATTTATAGACGACTCTTTGGTTATGAGACGGTTTATGAATATGAGCATTTATCAGCTGATGCAGTTCCGATATATGTCCAGCAGGGGGCGATGCGGAGCAGTTCAGTTCGGCTCCTGCTGTCAGTTTTTAAACAAAACTCCACGAGGAAGAAAGACTGAACGAGGACATCAGAATGATGCGTTTGAGTCACGTTGGACTTTGCAGCTCAGGAATAATTTATATTCTGATTTGTAATTATTAATAAATCACCAGAATCTGATTCGCTGATTAAAGTTGAGTTTGATTTAATAAATCTCTGAAAGGGCAATTAAATCCCTGACCTTTCAGTCGAGGGTCAAGGTCACTGGTTGAGTTTCAGCTGCCAGAAGTAAAAACAAACATAAAAAAATACTTTAAATCTTGTGTTGAAAAAATAGTTGAGGAGGCTGATGGGAGGAAGGATTTCCTGCAGCAGTCTGTGTTACAGAGATGTGAAAAAGCCTCTGACTTAAAACTCAGATTGGTTGTAAAATTCATCATTTTCTTAACTTAATGTAAAATCAAGCAGTTCCACGGTTTTACAGAGAGAAATATGACATTTACACATTTATATAGAAAAAGGTATTTATCATGGATTACACTGTTAAAGTTAAAATAATAACAATAACCACTAAAAACCTGTGGAAGGATTTAATTTAATGCAGCAACTGTTTATATTTTGCATCAACGAGATTAACAGACTTTTTTAAACTAAAATGACTAATTTATTAAAATATTGTCAATCTAACATATTATTGAAGAGATGAAAACAACAAACATCTTAAGAAATAAATCAGATTCTCAGCATTTTGTTCGTTTTAAAGCAGCTTTTCTTCCTCTTGTTTCAGCAGGAAGCAGCTTTGACCTAAAATCAACCTGTATCCAATCAGAGCGCAGACTGAACCCGGACAGACTGGTTCTGCTCAACATTTTCATCTCTGGATCCAACAGAACCGGTTCATGTGGATCCGCCGAGCAGCAGAGAGTTTCACCAGAATGAGTCCAGAGGGTTTCTGATCCTTCGTTCTGACAGGAAGAAGAAGATGTTCTGGATCCTCCTGCACGGTAAGATCCGGTTCTGCTGGGTTCGGTTCTGCTGGGTTAGGTTCTGCTGGGTCCGGTTCTGCTGGGTCCGGTTCTGCTGGGTCTGGGTCTGCTGGGTCCGGTTCTGCTGGGTTCGGTTCTGCTGGGTCTGGTTCTGCTGGGTTCAGTTCTGCTGGGTTCGGTTCTGCTGGGTCCGGTTCTGCTGGATTTGGTTCTGCTGGGTTCGGTTCTGCTGGGTCCGGTTCTGCTGGGTCTGGTTCTGCTGGGTTCAGTTCTGCTGGGTTCGGTTCTGCTGGGTCTGGTTCTGCTGGGTTCAGTTCTGCTGGGTTCAGTTCTGCTGGGTTCAGTTCTGCTGGGTTCGGTTCTGCTGGGTCTGGTTCTGCTGGGTTCGGTTCTGCTGGGTCTGGTTCTGCTGGGTTCAGTTCTGCTGGGTCCGGTTCTGCTGGGTTCGGTTCTGCTGGAGCTGAAGTTTATCAGTGAGACTGATTGGATGTTTTCGCCTCTTTGTGGGTTAAAGCTCTGAAGACTAATTAAGCCCCGCCCCCTGCCTGTGTCCTGTCTGTTTATTGGTCAGCTGATGTAAATCCCAACAGGCTGAGTTCAGGATCTAAAATCATTTTCATAACCTGTGGGCTGCGGTGAGCCTCAGGGATCCATTCTGGGATCTACTTCCTGTTTTATGAAAGTTTATTGATCAACCTGAAGCTCAGTCTGGAAACCAGAGGATCTCCATTGATTTTATTTTTCAGTTTTTCCGTCTCATCATGGAAACAGTTTTAATAAATATATACATAAATATTTTCCATAAAAGCTTTAAAGTCAGATTTATCTTCTGTTTTTGTTGTTTTGTGACATCATCATCATCGTTGTTGCTGCTTCATAAGCCCGTTGCCATGACAGTCGTCTCTGTCCTCAGTGTCCCTGCTAGTCCCTGCGGTCCAGATGTTGGTTCTGAACGGTTCTACGGAGGTCTGGACCCGATCCGCCCTCAGCCTGCCCACCGCTAACATGACATGTGGAGATGAGCTGACGGATCAGAACCCGCTCAACAGAACCACAACCGTCGCTCCGCAGACGGGAAACCTGACCCTGACCGTGACCTCTGACCCCAGGGCCTCCACAAAGCGAGCGCCTCAGGTCAAAGGTCAGGAGCTAACCTGCTGCTGCAGCAGCTGACGGGTCACAGATGAAGATGTTGCTCATTTTTCTCCACAGAATCGTTTCCAACGTGGGCCAGAGTTCTGCTGGTCCCTCTGGTGGTTCTGGTTCTGGTCACTGGAGCCGTTTTCTGTCATTTCAGGCACAACTTCATGAGAGGTGAGTAAGAGACACCAAAACAAACGTCCACCGCGAGTTCAGGGTCTGGAAATGTTCCTTTAAATCGCCACGGAAAAGCAGCTGAGTGGAGATGATGTGGTTAAACATTAAACAAAACAATTAATGTTTACTGATTGTTTTAATTATATTTGTTGCATGTGTCTGAATTGGTGGCTGAATGTTGGTTTTATAAAATACTTTGCTGGCCAATTAAATGTTTATTTTATTTAAATTTTGGTGTTTTTTGTTTTGTTGTCACAATTTGACCAATCTTGACTTGAATCGTTTCACGGGCCACTAAAGGCCCCGGCGCCGCAGGTTTGGCTCCTCTGAAGCTGGACTTCTCCTCTCAGGTTACAACAGAAACATCGAGGCCGACTCCGGTCAGCCGTTCGTCCTGCTGCCCTGCAGGACCAACGGTCGCCTGCCGAGCGACGCCACGGTGGAATGGACGGACCGCTACGGCAACAAGGTCCACGTCTACCAGAACCACGACAGCGTCCCCGAGAAACAGATCCAGTTCTACAGAACCAGGACGGAGATGAGCGAGGACCCGCTGCAGACCGGAGACCTGAGCCTGACACTGAGGTTCCCCACAGGCGCAGACACGGACACCTTCACCTGCTGCGTCTACAGCCGCAGCAAACGCATCCTGATGAAGACGCAGGTTCAGCTGCAGGTCAAAGGTCAGCTGATGGGCTGAGTTTCACCTGAACCACGTTGTTTGTTGTCAGTGCTGCTCTGTGACATTATGCTGCAGCAGTTACCACAGCAACACTGTCTGTCCTCCAATCTAGTCTTTGGTTGTTTCAGTTTTATCGCCCATATTTCTACCGTAAATGAAATGTTTATAGTTTTAATAACATTCAGACGCCTGTAGTAAACTCAATATTACCATAAAACAGCAGAATCTAAATCTTAGCAAGTCTAGTTTCTAAATGAAATATCATGCTGGATATGGATGAAACTAACTTACAAATAACATTTCAGCAAAACATGGGAGTTTGATTTAGTAAATAATTCATTAATATGGAGGAAAACTTCTAATTCCATTGGCAGATTGTTTCACTTATAATCAATCATTTCCAATATAAAAGTTATCATTTTTCTTCAATATTAAAGAGTTATTGGCTTAAACAAGTTCCTGTATTTTTCCAAAAAATACCGGAGCCATGTATTAATTTTGTAAATTAATTTTGTCGTATTTTAAGTGTATTAATATGTTTTCATTAGAAAGCGTCAGAGTGAGATCTCCAGTTTGTGTCCAGTCTTTGTTCGTCTCGGTTCTGTTTCTGTAGATCCGGTCATTTTGTGTTTTTGCTGTGTTAGAGTTCATATTGCTGATCTTCAAACCACCTGGAGCTTTCCCCAACACATAGCTGTAACTATAGAAACAGTCTTCTGCACATGTGGAGACATATTTCACATGTGGAATTCCTCGGCACGTTCAGGCGTGTGAAGCTCCCAACTGAACTCGTCTTCATTCTCAGTTAGGTTTTCACTGCAGAACATTTCAGCGACAAGGAGGTTCAACGACATTTAAAAAGCTAACACTGGAGATTTACATCCTCTCAATCTAACTCTGACTTTCCTGAAGCATTCTGGGTAATCTTCCTTTGCTGTTCTCTCAGTCCAACAGGTGGAGGTGAGTGCAGGTGCAGACAAAGTCCTGCTACCCTGCCACACCTCAGCCGAGCTGTTCAAGTCTTGTAAAGTTGAGTGGAAGGACAGTGAAAACCAGATGGTGCACGTGTTTCTGGACGGTTCTGACCGTCCGGAGAACCAGGACCGGTTCTACAGAAACAGAACCGAGACGAACAAAGACTGGACACAAACTGGAGACCTCACTCTGACTCTGAAACACCTCACCTACGAAGACAGCAACATCTACACCTGCAGCATCTTCAGCCAGGAGGGAACCATCCTGTACAAGAAGCAAGTTCAGCTCAAGGTCGAAGGTCAGTGGCTGGACTTTGGACATGCCTGCTTTACTGCTTTTTATCAAAAGCTTATATAAGTTTCATTTTTGTTTAATATTAAATAGCACAACAAATATTAATGAACAGGAAGAATTATAATGTTATATTTCTCTGATTGTTTATCCCGGACGAGCCCCCAAAATCAGATCAGGTGTATTTATTTAATGTAAAAGAGGAAATCTCATCAGTGACAGTTTTATGTACACAGACACCAGTGAGCAGCTGATCTTTGTTGGTCTTTGTTCTCTCAGACTGTCAGGTGGAGGTGGAGGAAGGGGCGGAGTCAGTCCTGCTGCCGTTCAAAGTGGCGCCTGAACTCCTTAAAGGCGCCAGAGTTGTGTGGTGGCGCTACGACCCGCAACCGGTGGTGATCGTTCATGCTTATAGATACCTTTCTGATCAGCTGCAAGAGCAGGACCATCACTACAGAACCAGAACCAAGATGAATGAAGACCTGCTACAAACAGGAGACATCAGCCTGACCCTGAGCCGACCCGCAGCCGACGCCGCTGAGAGCTACAGGTGTGGCGTCTGGAGGAGAACGAAACTGGTGGCGTGGACCACGGTTCTGCTCAAATTCAAAGGTTAGTCAGAAGCTTCTTTTGCCTTGTTGCTGTTTTTTTACAAAATCAGAAAAATGGAGTAAATGTTTCGCTCATCCCAGGTTTATGACCGATCGTCTAGTCAAAGTTCTCAGAATGTGAATGTTTTATTGCAGTTCGTTTTTTTTTTTTTCTTCTGATCGTTCTCCGTTGTCTCTGCAGGAGGAGCCCGGGTTCAGGATGAAGATCCTGGAGTCAGGGACCAAAGCGACTCCATCGATATGACTCCGCTCATGTCTGCTGAGTCAAACGACTCTTTATTCGACGCTCTGACGTGACCTGCTGTGGAAACTGTGACGTCACTTCCTCTTTCAGAGGAGCGATGTCACTGCAGAGGAAGTGGCATCATTTTTTCACTTAGAGAAAAGCTGAAAAAACAAAATCACTTTCTAAAATTCACAAGGATTTGAACCAACAACCTTCTTGCTTAAGATTGAAATCTTTTATTCTTCAAATGTTTCTTGTAGAAAGTTTATCTGTTCATATTCAACATCTCTGAACCTGGTTTCCATCATCTTCACTTTCCAAGTGTAACTCGGTAAAATCAGCCTTTAATTAGGCCGTTTCCTCTAAATGCATCACCATTATGTCTAATTTGACAGAATCATGTGATTCATTCAGCCGGAGCTGTAACAGGTTTGTACTTTCAAACTACTTCCTGTTTTATCCTTTTTATGTTCTATCTGCACTTTAAGGCTCACGATACAAATATGATTCATATCTGATCCCAGTGGGTCTGGTTTTTCATGACCTGAATTGTAAATGGAATTGCTGAGTTGTGAATAAAATGTTTGTTTGTAGCTTATTCTAATTGGTTAGCTGGCAAAACAAACTTTTTTTACCTTCTATGTTGAGTTTAACTTGGTAAATTAAATGCTTGCTGTGTAATATTAATATGGCACTTTTACTGGTGGCCGTTTAAAAATGTCTGGTTAACTAGCAGGATGATATTTTACTAGTCCTGTCAGTTTCCACTTTCAACGAAGTGGAAACTGACGGTTTAATTGGAAAATTTGTGACTGTCATTTGGAAACCTTATGCACATTATTACTGAAAGGTAACTTCAGTGTTGTGTATATATTTCTGTTTATTTTTTATGGTGTTCACTTATTTTAAGGAATACATGGTACTGAAAACAATCATTTTTCTCTTTGTTGTTTTTATTAACTTTTGTCATTTGCTCCGGTACTCGTTCCTATGCAAAACATTTACATTTTACTCTCATGATCAATTATAGTTACTTTTAAAAACATGAATAAATCAGAAACCAGCTGCAGCTCTGAAACTCATCTCTATATTCAGATCGGGGTTTTTCCGCCCTCTGGTGGTCAAAATGGGAGCTACAGCCTTAGCGACGCTGCGTCGTTTTTATTAAGCTGTTGCTCAGGGCCCCGGGCCAGTAGATGCCCCACTTAAGTGGATTATTCTTTACAATAATATATACTTTAGATAATGTATTCATAAATTATTCTTCATATGGGCAAAAAGGAAAACTAAATAGCTCTTGGGTTCCCCCTGGCGGCCGCGTTAGGTCAGGCTTCTGCGGTAATATGAGCTGGTGGAAGATACGTTAGCATAGCAATGTAAACGATGTCTCAAAAAGGACTAAATCCTTCAGGGAGAGAGGAAAGAAAGAGGAAGAATAGAAAAAGGCAAGATAAAGGTATGTTGTAACGTGTCTCGATAATTTAATGTTTATCAAAAAGATTTGCGGAGATGCTAATAGAAAATTAGCTTGTTAGCTACGGCTCAGTTCAACGCCCGAACATTTAAGCTACAATGCTGCTGCTAATCTTGCTAACTTGTTTAAAATTAGATGTAGTTAGAGAATAATAAAACAAATATACAGGCCTCGAGGTAAAAAACAACCACTTACAAATAATTATTTAAATTATTTTAGGTAGAAATGTTTTAAAAAGCCTTAATTTAAAGTATAAAGAGCGTGGAAGGAGATTAGCATTTTCTCCACACTGCAGAAATTCCTCTTTAGTTTAAAAACCGCCATTAATATCTATTTTAGTTGATTGTTTCAAGTTTATTTTTTATAAAATGGAACATATATTAATGAACATTTACATGCAAATACATGACATTACAGCTCAGGTATTTCATGTCTTTAATACCATTTGGTGGGTTGATGTAAATAATGGTTAATAATAATAATAAAAACTCAATAGATGAGAAAAAAGGTATTTAAACGGTTGTTTAATTAAACTGTATATAATGTTTCAATCATTTTCACTCAATAAGTCAGTTAGCATAGTGGTGATAAAAGTTGAGTTGTATACAGTTAAGCTACGCTAAGCTAATCAGGCTACAAAAATAAGTCAATCTACTGCATAGTTTTCACAGATCTGTGTTTGTTTGGGTAAATAATTAGTTTGTTCTTCATATTTTGGCATTTGTTGTAATCCATTGTAATTTTGTGCTGAATTCACACCATCCCTGTTTAATCCTGTTTAATCCGAATCCAGTCTGTTGGCCTAGTCAAAGTCCGGTTCGTTTGGGGAAGTAAGAATATTTTATCAATCCTTTGGATGAATGTGAACACCAAGCAGATCAAATCTGACATCTTTCCGTTGGGTTCCTGGTGCAGCGCCCCCACAGGCCAGGAGGGGAACAGGTTTTCAGCTAGTTTGGATTGTTTGACCCAGTTCAGTTTGAAAGAACCAAACTAGCTGAAAATGTAGCAAATGTTGCATTTTGATCATCAGTCGAACTGGATCTAGTGGTTCTACTGGGGATGAGGTGTGTCCTGCTGTCCGGTTCTGAAGCCCAGAGACAGATCCGTCCAGGCCTTCTTCTGGACCTATTCGTACCTGAGGAGGTTCTGGTGAATCAAAACCAGTCCTAAGAGTTCGGTACCGATATAGTTGCCAAGAGAGCCTTAATAGGAAGCTGCATCAGCCCATGCGGGTCTTTCAGTCCAGGTCGTCCATCCTTCGGTTCTCTGTCCTATGGGTCCTGCTGCCGCCGTCCCCACTGCCGCCGTCCCCACTGCTGCTGTTCCCACTGCTGCTGCCGCTCCCGCCGCCGCTGCTGCCGCTCCCGCCGCTGCCGCCGCCGCTGCTGCTGCCGCTGCCGCCGGCGCTGTGTCTCTTCAGGTCCTGGAAAACCTCGGTGAAGAATCGCGGTTCGGTGTTGAGGCGCAGCATGTCGGCGCTCAGATGCTCAATGACCTCCAGCGCTCGCTCCCAGAAGACGTCGCGGCTGGACTCCACCAGGAACGGCTTCATGGGGTAAGAGATCTCGTTGCCCAGGTAACAGTAGGCCAGGTAGAGACAGGTGAGGAAGGTGGCGTGGAGCTCCTGCTCCGAGGCCGTGTCCTCGTCCACCGCGTCTCTGCAGAGCAGGTAGACGAAGACGAGGCTGGCCGGGCTGAGGAAGCCCCGATGCTACAGAGACAGAGAGCAAAGGTCAACTTGCAGCAAACAGTAAGAAATGCTGCAAACGGCTAAACGTACAACAGCCTATTAATGCCACTGTAGATAGAAAAAGGAGTACATTTCCACCACAAATCTCGGAATTTTTGGAAGAAAAACTTTAACGTTTTCTTTAACTTGAAAGCTTTCACCTTTTGGAGTTCAGAATTTTTAAAAAATTTTCTAGAAAATTTCTGAGATTTATCTCAAAAGGTAAAAATTTTTGGTTGGAATTTTGGACTTTTGGATCTCAGAAACTTGGAGAACACGGTAGATTGGACCCAAAGGTCCGACCAACAACAGACAGTCCAGAACCAGAACCAGAACCAGAACCCTGACCTGCCAGCCCTGCAGCAGCAGCGCTCGCTCCACGTTCCTCAGCCAGACGACGATCCGATTGGACGGAAACTCCTTCAGCTTGACGCAGCGCCGGCGCAGGAAGTCGGACAGACAGCGGAGAAGCTCGCCTGTGGAGGCCTGCAGGATTCAGACAGAAGAAAGAAGACTTCATCAAACGGGACGAGGTTCTGGTTCCCGACTGACCTGAGCCGGTACCGACCTGAACCACCAGCCTCCTGATGCACATCTGCTCCTCCTGCCAGGGCCGCGCTCTGACCTTGGGGCCCTTAGGGGCCGACTTCCCCCTGGAGCCCAACGCCGCCAGCCGCTTCCTGCAGCGCAGCGCCTGCAGCAGCACAGAGCGTGTCTTCTTCTCCTCCTCATCATCAGGAACCTCCGGCGGCTCCTTCAAAGCCGCCGCCGCAGCGGATCGGCAGCCGGGAGGCAGAGACAGCAGCGTTCCCATGGCGACGCCGCAGAGAGCCGCCGCAGAGCCGCAGCATCCAGGAGGCGCAGAGTCCTGCTGGGTGCTGCTGCAGCGCCCTCTGCTGCTCAACCAGAACACTGCAGGCTTAGGCTCTGGACCAGAACCAGAAATAAAGTGATGGAAACTTCCAGAACCATCAGAATCCAAACTTCTGTTTTGTTTCATTAAGATCCAAGATGTTGCTGCTGAAATCTAAATCAAAAATGTAAAGTTTTTAAACTAAATATTTAGCTCTAAGTGAGATAAATATCCAATTTAAAAACTTAATATTTAGCTGTGTAGCTTGGATAAACATTTAGTTTTAAAATAATAAAAAATTACTTCCTAAATAAATGTTTAGCTAGCTTCCAGCTAACAATCAAAATAAATATGTATGAAGATAAATATTTTGTGTCTAAGCAAAAAATTTAGCCTGCAAGCTAAATAAGAAGATTAAAAAATGTAATATTTAACTTTCTAACTAAATGCTTAGCTAGGTAAAAGCTAAGTATTTAGTTTCTAAACTACATGTTTGCTACTTTGATATTTAGCATCTATTTTTTACATGGTAACTAAGGTTATGTTTTTGTTTTTTAAGCTTATATGTAAATTGAGCTGAATATTCAGTTGTTAACCGGTGTACCTAATAAAGTGGACGGTGCGTCCAGTTGTTTTGTTAGTTCAGCGAGTTTCCAGCAGAGGGCGCTGTTACACAGAACATCAGCAGTTTCTTCCATCAAAACTCTTTCATTTCTTTGAATCGGTTTGTTTCTCAGGTTTTATTCTGAAGATGAGATTAAATTTAACATGAATTTCAGTTTAATCTGCAGTAAAAATGCGGCCCGGCCCATCGGAACCTCCGGATGAGTTAATGAGATCAGAACCGACCCGGTTCTGCCCCTTTGAGCAGGCGGCCTGGTGGATGTGATGAATGAAAGCTGCAGCAGCTGATCCAGAGTCAGATTATCCACCTCCCCCCAGCGAGGCCAAAGGGGCGGGGCCTGGGCGGCAGAAGGTTCATTGTCTGAGCAGGGAGGGTCGAGCGAGCTCCACACGGACGGCGGCTCCGTGGAGAGAGAGACAAAGAGGGGAGGCTGAGTCTTTCTTTCTTGGTGTGGGGGAGGAGAGGGGGAGGATTAACCGGCTCAACTGCGACACACACACACACACACGCGCGCTTCATCCAAACACACAACAACACGGCTGCAGAGCCGGGCTTCATCTGGATCAGCATCAGCAGCATCAGCAGCATCGCTGCCTGCAGGAGACAAAGAGGCAGACAGGAGGAGGAAGAGGAGGAGGGGATCTTCATCGTTCGAGGACAGGAAGAGCATCCCGGCCTCCAGCCGCCTCCGTCCGTCATGGCCGACCACATGTTCCTGCTGCTGTGTGTGTGAGCGCGGCGGTCCGGGTGGGTGTGTTTCGCTGCGTCCGCTGTGGTCGCTCCTCTGCCTCGGTGTGTGTGAGAGTGTGTGTGTGTGTGTTATGGGGAACACAGAGAGCATGGAGAGCCAGCTGGCCGTGATCCGGTCCAGAGCCGCCCCGGTCCGACTGCCGATGCCCGACCCGGCGGAGCTGGAGGAGCGGTTCTCCATCGCGTTGGTGAGTGGAACGACCTGCAGGTTCTGATCCGCCATGCATGCATGACACTCTGCTAATTAGGCGGCAAACATCACAGTCTGATGAGACGGCAGCTAGACGCAGCTAATTCACGCTCAGATCCACGACCCGATCATGTTATCGGATCAATATCACATCAGATATAAATACTAAACAGACTCAGATTACAACGGAAGAGCCGTCCGCCCGAACAAGCACGTGGTGACAGAGGGAAGGAACGATTCCCTGAAGGGGAAACAACATCCGGTCAGAACAAGTCAAAGCAGCAAGCTACCAGGGGAAATCACCGGTCACCCCGAGGGTCAAAGTTCACAGAGATAATGGCAGAATTAGCTCAGCTCGTGGCCCAAGCTGTGGAGTCAAACAGGAATCAGAAAACTGAGTCTTCCTCTCAAAGGAGACGAGGTTTCATGGCCTAAAGTAGACTCTGTCTTTCAGAATTCGATGAACCTTCCTCCAGACAAGGTGCGTCTGCTGCGTTCCTATGACAACGAGAAGAAGTGGGAGCTGATCTGTGATCAGGTAGGTCCTGCAGGTCTCATTGCATTACCCAACGCTACTCCAGCTAATCTAGCTTAGTATTTTCTCATTTTGACGTTAAAACTCAGGAACAATTTGGTTGAATCATATTTGGATTCCCATGATGCATTTCTGTGTTGTCAGGAGATTCCAGGTGAAGAACCCCCCCATACCTACATCCAGAAACTCAGAGGCTTCCTTGATCCGGCTGTGACGCGAAAGGTGAAACGACAGGAACAGATTTTACTCAATCAAAGCCCAATGATTCTCTGCATGTCAGACGTTTACTAACCTGTTGAAGAGGAAACTGAGTTTTTGAAAATGTGTTAATCTTTTTCTGTCCGCAGAAGTTCAGACGAAGAGTTCAGGAATCGACCCAAACGCTCAGAGAGCTCGAGATTTCTCTGCGTACAAACCACATCGGGTAGCTGTCCGTCCAGCTCCTCCGTCTCCAGACGCTTTTCTGTCGTGTGCAAAACTTTCTGCCAATGTCAATAAAGAACGCAATTCAAAAACATGCGGCGCCATCGCACTCTGACCACTTCCTGTTGTCTTCTTTGTTATTTCCGGCAGTAGTAAACATCCCGTTCTTGATCATGTGGTTCAAGTGTTTCCATTGCAGTTTGTGAAATAAAATAACCTTGTTCTCGAGTTAAAAGTTTTAAGGTTAATGGGACTCAGTTGGTCTCCAACATGTCTCTCTCTGTCCATGTTTCTTCGTTTTGTCCATTTATTTGTCTTTCTGTCTCCAGCTGGGTCAGAGAGTTTCTGAATGAGGAGAATCGAGGTCTGGATGTTTGGTCGAGTATCTGTCCTTCGCTCAGTACGCCGTCACGTGAGTCAGATCTCTGCCTACCATCTCAAGGTTTGGTGTTTTTGAAGAATGACCTTGACCTTTCTGATCTGCTCAGGTTTGATGGTGAGCAGTCGGACACCGGAGCGAGGTGGGCTCCATCGACTCGCCCTGGAGTCGGTCCATCGAGGATCTCCATGGCGACTGCAGCCTCCCGTCGCCGTCCTCGTCCATTTCCCGCTCGGCCCGACACTCCATCAGGTAAAGAGAAACCCAAACCAGAGCTCAGGCCGCCCAAACCGGGAAATCTGAGATTTTCACATCCACAGCTCGACCCTGGTGACCCGGTCCAACACGCTGCCGAGTCGCAGAACCCTGAAGAACTCACGACTCGTCTGCAAGAAGGACGACGTCCATGTCTGCATCATGTGTCTGAGAGCCATCATGAACTACCAGGTAGGAAAAACCTCCCGTCGCTTTAAGACCCTCCTGACCCGACGCCACACCGACCCATCTTCCTCTTCCTCAGTACGGCTTCAACATGGTGATGTCCCATCCGCACGCCGTCAACGAGATCGCTCTGAGTCTGAACAACAGGAACCCCAGGTAGTAAAAACTGGAACGAAATGTCTGCCGCACAGCAGACTGACGGCGTGACGGACTGTGCTGTTTCACCAGGACCAAAGCGCTGGTTCTGGAGCTGCTGGCGGCCGTGTGCCTGGTCCGAGGAGGACATGAGATCATCCTGGCAGCCTTCGACAACTTCAAAACCGTAAACAGTCTCCAGTCACAACGGCGTGTTACTGCCACTAGACCTGAGACTAAAACATCAGAAATGATTAGATGGACCCAGAAAGCTTCGAGGAGAAAACAGAATATTCAGAGTTTGAAAGTCAAGATTTTCCTAGAAAAAAAATTAATCTCAGAAAATTTCTAGAAATAGATCAGAATTTTTTTAGTTTGAAAGGACTGGGATTTGAAATTTTCTTCGAGAAAACTTGAAATTTTTGAGTCTCAAAGATGTAAAATATTCCACATTTAAACCCATAAACATTTTAAACTCCTCCTTCGGTTTCTTTTCTTTTCTTATGGCGCCTGACGCCCCGACCTGTTCACCATCTGTTGCAGGTGTGTAACGAGTCGATGCGTTTCGAGAAGCTGATGGAACATTTCAAGAACGAAGACGACAACATCGACTTCCTGGTAACTGCTGCTGCTGCTGCGTGACATTATCTGTGTTTTCATCAATTCTATAAGTATCACATTAGAAAAGCTAATATTAGGCAAATATTCAAAATAACTTCCTCAATTTCACAGAAATGTTTTTACTTGAGGTGTTATACTAGGGGTTTTGTAGATAAAGGGGAAAATAGTCAATTATCTTTAGGAAACTCATGAAAGTTTGAGATTAATCTCAAAATTATTTTGGAAAATTTTAGAAATTACAAAATTTGGTCCTCAGAAATTTCCCAAACATTTTTAGAAAAAAAAAATCTAAAAAATTCCGTTTTTTTGGTGTTTATTTGCTAGTAAGGAAATTATTTAATTTTTTGCCCACTCTGCGTCATGTCAGTGGGATGTAAACAGCTCGTGTCTTCATGGCAACCTGCTTGTCCCCAGGTGGCCTGCATGCAGTTCATCAACATCGTGGTTCACTCCGTGGAGGACATGAACTTCAGAGTTCACCTGCAGTACGACTTCACCAAGCTGAACCTGGAGGAACACCTGGAGGTAACCCGTCAGGGTCACGTGACGAGCCCCGGGCCAATCGGGGCCCGGTGAGTCACGGCGCCGTTCCCCTCAGAGGCTGAAGCACACGGAGAGCGACCGGCTGCAGGTCCAGATCCAGGCTTACCTGGACAACGTGTTTGACGTCGGGACGCTGCTGGAGGACGCAGAGACCAAAACCGCTGCTCTGGAGAGAGTGGAGGAACTGGAGGAGAACCTCGCTACGGTAAGCAGCATCAGGCTGACCTCTGACCCTGTCCTTTACAAAGTCTGGGACAACATCTGGTTTCCTCATCCAGATGTCGGAGCGGCTGCTGGACGTGGAGAACGAAGCCATGCTGAAGATCGTGGAGCTGGAGAAGCAGCTGATGCAGACCAACAAAGAGCTGGACCAGCTGCGGGTCGGTGCTGAACTCCAGCTGGTCGGATAAAAAGAGGTGTCCGACCGCGACCTTTGAACCCGCAGCCTTCTATGTGCAGGAGGTGTACGCCAGCGCCAACACCCAGGTTCACACCCTGAGGCGGATAGTTCGGGAGAAAGACCAGACGATCCGGCGGCAGAGTCGCCTGGAGCGCCAGGCGCAGGAGGCACAGCAGTCCGGCGGACCCGGAGCGCCGCAGCCTCAGAGGGGCGAAGGCGACGGGGGCGTGGCCGACTCCGCCTCCCCGTCACCGCCGCCGTGTCCCACGCTGTCCCCCAGGTAAG